AAAATACAATTTCAGAAATTTAAAGTTTAATTTATACACTGCATACTATATATTACTTTTCTATTTTTCAATTTAAACATGTTATGGGACATAAGTAGAAAAAATGTATAAACTGTACCGATGAAGATACAAATAAAGTAAGAATTACATTGATGTGCAAATAAATGTTAATCCCACCATAAATTCCTATTGAGAAATATGAACGTCGTACATTACGTACAGAATCTTAAAATTGTATACCATTTGTTCAATGTGTGTGTATGTGCAAATAAAACAAGCAAATAATAAATAATTTATTAATACTAAAACAAACTCGTTCAAAACAATTTAAAACCATTGAAATAATTTTATCCCTGGCAGTTCGTTTGGTTTTGAAAAATTTAAAAACTGTATCCAACCGACAAGAGATTACCAATATTGTATCATAATAATAGCTGTGATAAATGAAGTTAATAATAAAACTTATTTCAATAATTATTCTTTGGATATTTATGAATAACAATAGTTTGATAACTTTATTTTGCTTATAGTATGGATGTGGTTGTTTAGATCTCCAAGGACTAAGGAATAAATGACATAGAAACTTCGTTTATTATATACACCCAAATCGAATTGATACCTCGTTTCAAACGGTTGAAAACTCGTTAAACGAGGCTAAACAATTAAAATGGAATGAATGTTATGCGATTTCGTTGTTGTAAGCAGTGGTACCATCGATTTTTGTTTCATTCGAGTTTGAGGGCGAATCTACTTAACAAACTTTAAAAGGCACACGGTGATTAATGAACATGGATTTTAGCAGTCTTCGAAATTATGCGAAGCGGTAAAATATGGTCGTAAAATAAACTTTTTTTTATTTTTGAGCTGTTTTTTTCAGGTTGAAAATGTGTATTTGTCAACTTACAAGGCTTTCTTGGCTAGTTTTGTTTGACATTGTGTCGATCACACGCGAAATACTTCATTAAAAGACACAAACTTCAGTAACACTTTATATATATGATCATATTAAACTGATCAGTAATAAGAGTATGACATTAGAGTCTACATTATTTAAATCATTATAAAATAGCAACTTATTTTAACAACGATTATAAATCGTAATCATCCACAACATTTTATACGAGAAATGATAAACAATTTGTTTTTGTGAACACTAATCAATTATATTTTTAACGATCAATTAATATTTGAAAACATTTAAATTGATTTAAATTTAAACTCCTTATACAATAAAGTTATTTAGGTATCTACTTAATGTAAACTAAATCGATAAATTAAAATAACCCATTAGTTATTTCCTTACGCTCCTAAATATATAGTTTTTACTACTTAATTTGTTTTTATCATATGATAGTAAGCTCATATCTCTGGGCTACACAGATTTTAACGAAACATTTGTTAGATTAAATCGTTATTGATTAGTTGCGGTTACCTTTATCATAGATTGAATTAAATTTTTAATGTAATCTGTACTTATACAATGATTATATGTTTAACCTTGGATAATAAATATTTATTTATACTGAATAATAATAATAATAATAATATAATAAATATTTATTATCTATGGTAATCACGGGAATTTAATTTTTGAGAAAGTTTATTGTAAGCAACATGAAAATAGAAATTTGTTCAACGTATTTAGACTTTGATTTTTAAAAAATCGCATCAATTTATTTGTCTGTAAATTTTATAGTATGCCATTTTTTGCATTCTACATATATCATTTAATTCACCTAAAAATATATCCAACATGAGTTTCTTGAGTCCTTATGAGATATTAAATCTTTGCAATTGTCGGTAAGATGATTGTCAAAATAATAATAACACATTACGAAATTTTTTTTTTTATAAACAATTTACAATGTATATTGAACCAAACAATAAGAAAATTAGAAAAAAAAATGTGTACTATCGCAATTTATATTCATAATATAATTGCATGATGAAGAAGGCTATTCAGTGTTAGAATCCTGCAGAACTAATAAATTAATAGCTTGATTTATTTGTTTAATTTTTTTTTAAATTATTTCGATACCAGTATCTATTGAGAATGAAGATTGTGAGGTAGTGTGAATGAGGATGTACGAGATATATATGATAATTTTTTGAGTTGCTACAAGTTAAATTTAATATAATATTTTATGGTTGGTTGTTCAACAAGCAAGTCTTTGTAAAGTGTATTATTTGTGACGTACCATGGAGCAAAGGCTATGACACGGAAGTGTTATGGACTGAAATTATTGTATGGTTTCTGTTTATGATGGCTTGGCACTTTCTAAAATTTTATGAACCAAAAGCAAAATGGATTTTAATATAGATTTAAATAATTGTTATACTTAATGTATCTTATTATATTTTTGTATATATATATATATATATATATATATATATATATATTTTCTAAGTGTCCATGGAATTGAAACATTTTATTTTGGGATTTAATTTTATTCGCTACCTCGATTATTTAGGTAATTATTCAATAGAGTTAATTTTTAAGAACAGATTAAGCTATAATAGAATATCTGTCAAAGGAAAGCATGATTATATCATCAACATAAATTTCAAAAGTAGCATTTCTATTTTGAGAATGATGGATGTGAATACATTAAATAGATTAAGGGAAATATCACTACTGTGTTGAGACACTTTTGCAGACATCGAAAAATATGAAGAATTTGAGCTGCCTAGATTAAGAAGATAATAACAAATTATTAAAAAGAAAGAACTTCGTTTACCTTATAGAAAAGGTTATCTTTCTACACTTGGTCAAACTGAATAACGTTTATGAAAAATGTAGGGCATTATTTTTTATTTGAAAATAAATGGAGATTTCATCTATGAGTCATAACCTAACTTGGTGCGTTATTGAATGGTTAATGATACCATACTGAGAGTGAAAAATTATATCTTGTCTGAAGGAGAATATTAAGTATTTTAGTACATAGGGTTTGTGAATGAGGATCACTATGGATAACTTACACTTTAGGGAGTTTAATAAGAGAGTCTCAATATGAAGTTCTAAACTATGTGATGAGTATTTGTTTTTTGTTTGGCAAATGTTTTAGCACTTTGTTGGAAATTAAATTATATCCAGATAATTTCCTTATTTTTAATTTAATATCATAATTATTTGTTTAACATCAATCGGGGAAGAGTGCTTTGCTGGAAGATACACGGTTCATGGACTATTTAAAAAGTGAGTTGTTTCATCTAGATGTTTGTCGATTTTTGGATTTATATTTGGGTAAGGAGTAAATATTTTTGAGAAATAGTTTGAAAATATATCAATTTTGAAACTGACTGATATGACTAATATTAACTAAACCATATAAGGAAGGAATCTAGTGATTGGAAATCATTGTGTACGTCTTGTTGGAACTATGACGTACTATTGGTTCTGTTGTAGAATGTTGTAGCGAATCCTAATCCACAATGGATATCCTTTAACCCCAACACCTCCGAAAAATTTTATGAAGAATGGATAAACTATGAACAGCAATAACCAATAAATGTCGCACTAAATTCTTTTTTGTACTTTTGCGAGTACGTATTTAATGCAAATATGTACACGGGGGTGCATAACATTTCTCTCGCGCTCTTCATTTGATTAAATAATACGTAAACATGGGTTTTTATTTATTTTTAACATTTTTTTATTGGACCCTCGATAATAAAAATGTACGTGAACACTTGGTGATGTACCTACTGTGCAATAAATTACGACGAGCTAATAAAACGTCAGTATGGTAAATATTTTTTTTAAAAACAGGAATAAATTATTTCCGTCGGCCGAACCTATGCGTTACGCGACTAATCCGCTTACGTGTACACGCCTACAGGCGGTATAATAACAATATTACTACGTCGAACACGAATCGATGAGCGTCAGCGGCTCTTTTCAAAATCTTGAAGCCGTCGAAGGTTTTCCGAGTAACGCCCCTTATTAACAAATTAATCATACTGTCAACAAGTCGTCATATTATATAGTTCGTACAAGTGAAAACGAATGCCGTTTATCGAATGTTGTTTACCTTATATCCGAATGATTTTTATCAAATACTATTTCCAATTTGTAAACGCAATACCGTTCAACGGATTTACGCGTATTCAATTCTACCCAAATCAAAGCACCAATAACATCGATAATTTAGAAGCATGATTTTCTCGTTATCGCTTTACTTTCTTACTTATTGTATTTTACCAACATTATATATTATATTTCAGACGAAAGACATCAAATCGAAGTGGAATTCAGAGGACATCCACGAATACACGTTCTGACTTCTGGGTTGATTTTTTAATTTGTAACACGTTTGGGAAGCAGAATAAAAACTACATCTTTTTTTTTTTTTTTAATCTATTTCACGTATTATTAGCCCAATATTTGAACAATTCTATTTCACTAAATTAACTTTTTCTACCTAAAAAATTGGATATAATTTGTATTGTATTCTAAAATGTATCCAAATATTTATATTTTTGTTCACATGTTGGTTTACAGCAACAGTAAGTCAATGTGTCAGTAATAGAACGTATTTTTCTCTTTCGTTTGTTCCATATACATATAACACTAGGAAAGAGCAATAATGTACGACTCCAATGGCATATTTGAAAACCACCACTTAAGTGAAACGATGGTTTATTAAACTTATTTTACATGTGGAATACGAGTACGTGTACACATAATACATATACTAAAGCGTTAACCTCGTATTTCACGTTTTTTCATGTATTTTCATGTCAAATATCATATAATACACTCACACACACGCGCGCGCGCAATTACACATATTTATATGGATGGTATTAATAGAGAAATACAATAAAAACATAAATATAAAACCAACCAATACACTCGTACACGGCAAGTTTTCTTAATATATCGTGCGCCGGAGTCACGTGTTTGCGTTATAAACGAGTAGTTTTAAGATGTTATTGTTCCAAGGAAAATATAGATTAACAACAACAAAAAAAGAAAGAAAGAAAAAAAGACTCACTTTAATCCCGGAAAATCTTTTACCCTCAGCAAAAGCTCGTAGATTTCGCGACACCGTACGTTCTCGTAACTTCCGCCCGGTGGCCCGTCAGCGTGCGCGTACAACAATGCGATGATATATAGTGTCTATGACCAAAACGCCACGAGTAGTTGCATCGAAATGTCTCTGTAAACAAAAATATTATTGTTAACTCCCATGCCAACCGTTGTTTTTTGAACATTGCTTTTGCACATCACATCCTAGCTGCATTATTTTGTTATTTACTCGATTTCATTTTTTTTCAATACTTGTTTGTTTGCATCTTACCGGCACCGTTATCCTCGACGTGTGTGTGTGTTAACGTAACAATATAGTTCTACGTTTGAAATAACCGAGAACTTGTTATTTTTTGTGAATCCTAATATACACGTTATGTAATGGATATTGCCGTTACTACCTGCAGTCACAGAGATTACGCGTTGAAGATGTGAATATTGTTACACAAACAAGCGATTTACGACGGATGTTGATATCAACAATTGGTAATCGATGAACATGAGATTTATAATCATGTTGATTTTTTTAAAAACACGACACGATAAGCGTTTCATCTAAAACGATGCGTTAGATAGTGGGGGAAAATTAAACCATCATTTCAACAACTCAACATATATTTGAAAACTATGTTTGAACGCTTGTTCAAGTAACATGAATACGAGTTGCCTTTATCGGAATATACGATGCGGTGATATTATAATATAGTTTAGTTTTGGTCGTCGAAAACCTAAACAGTGTTGCGGGTCGGTAGCCTTTTCGTCACGGAAATACGTCATTTTGCAGCGTTTAAGAAGTTTCAAGATGTTTCAAACATTCACGGACGAGAGAATCGTAAAAGCAGTAGATTGTTTATAAGTATTTACATTTTGGATTAGAGAAATCCTATATTACCTGGACGTCGCCGCGATGCACAATGTGCATATGTCCATGTATATGTTACGGGAAAAGTAAATTTTCGAGTAATGTTTACATTGCCCTGGCATTGTGGTATTGCCCAGTCTATCTGGGGCAATATAAACAATTTTTTTTTATTTTTAATGGTTAGCCTTTCTAATATTACTAATATTATAAATAATTAATAAAAGTAGTTGTTACTTTATTTTTTGAATATTAATATTGATAACTCTATCAAATATAAATATATAGATAGCAACCTATCGTCATTTTTTTTTTTTTTTTTTTTAATGCAATTTCTACATTTTTTCAATATTGCTCTTCCATTTCAATTAATTTAGTTTAATACCGCACACATTTATACAGCGAACACTACAATAACACTATGACAATACGACACGACTCTCAACTGCACTGTCCTAAATAGTATTAACAACTTACATGTTGTATGATTCAATGATTGCTGTGATAATTATTGTACGATATCTAAAAGGTAAAACCGATTTACTGATAATATAATCATAAAACGACCATAATTGACCAGATAATATTGAGAGTTTTGTATATTGGTACCTCATGGCTCATACTTGTATAGGTATTTGAAGTACTAACAGACAATGGTTTCATAATATTATAGTTAATAGTTTAAGTTACAATGTCTAATTTATTACGGGCAAAGTATACTTGGACCGGTAAAAGTATTACCCTGCCCGGTCAAAATAGTATTTTAATGTATTGCCCAAAAACAACGGGCAAAGTACACATAGACCGGACAATGTGAACATTGCCCGATAGTTTACTTTGCCCATAACATATATACGTGCACGCTGAGCTTCGGACTGAAATCGATGATTAAAAAAAACGTGTAATAAGTTAACATTGATGTGTTTTCGTTCGCATTCGTTATATTGACAAAAATGGGTTGTCGTTTGATTAAATTCATGTCACTACAAATGAATACTACGCAAATGCTATGTATTTGTTTTCTGCTAATATTTTGAAAATGGTTTTTTCCCCTCCAATATTTTGTTCAATTTTCCATTTATGAAAAACAATTTTTATTTACGGATCCAAACAATATAGTTGTTATCGCATGACCGTATTACTTGACATTTCCGACGTATTTTGTCATTTCGATACACAATTAATTTTTTTCTTTCGATGAAAAAATCGACCAAGTAACGACAGGTCGTTAATTCCATACACGCATGCAATTTGCGTCGACCACGAAAATGACCGGGAAAAACAAATAATTAATTGACGTCAAGATGTATATTTTTTTGCAACTTATAATTAAAAAACAAAACCACGAGTAAATGGGTTGGAATTTAAATGAAAAAATACGATTGTTACGAGGTTTCGTGTTCTTGCTAAGTGTAATAATATGTGTATGAATATTACTGTTTGGTTATTCATATGCAATAGCATAAATAAATTAACTCACTCGGATGAAGGATTTATGTTTTATTCTAGCATTCAAAAGACCATGTCCGTCCATAGTCAATGAATCAAACGAAAAATTATCTCAATCCCTACACGAAGTCATAAAATATTCATGGCTTGTAGTCACTATCAATATCGGGGAAAAAGTTTGATAGGGATGACCGTGTTCGGAAATATAACCCAAGTGCGATCAATTTTATATTTTATTTCTTCTTCTGAAAAAAAAGGACTTAGTGGTATGTTTTTAGTGTTGAACAAAAAGCCACTTGACGTCCGCGATTTATCGGTTATAATGTTATCGGCAACTAATATTTATCCTCTCGAGAGGCAAAACACGTTATATTAATAGTGTAAGCCTAGTGCGTGATATTTTCTTCGCGCTGAATACATATGTAATGCAATTCTTATGCTAATATGAATCTTAAAATTATTATATTTTTAAAAATTTGTAGAAAATATTTATATATTTCATCTTCATTGCATCCACCATCATCAAATTCATTTACCGTAGATACTGCTAATTATATTTTATAAATGTTGTGGTTATTTTTTATTTTTAATGTATAAAAATTTTATACATTAAAAATAAAAAATATGTTACGAACTGTTCGATTTTCGAACCAAACCAAACCGAACTGAAAATCGGAAAAAATCGAACCGAACTATGTACCCAATAGTTCGGTTCGAAAATCCAACCAGATAAATCTAAAATCAAACATGGCCATCAAAAATAATTACATGATGAAACCAGCACTCCCCCACCATACTTATTCCGTCTATTAACCGCACAGGCCTCGTACGAAAATGGAAAAATCCTAGATAGTTGATACCTATAAAAACACTAAAAATAGATTTTTTAGTTGATAGTAACTTGTTTTAATGCTTATTATTTTATCATATTTATTAATTATGGCTGATTGGTGATTGCCTTATCGAATTTGAAATCAAAATATGATAAATGGATAAAAAATAAGTAATAAGTGTTGTTAATAAATGATTATCATATTATTAAGAAGATTATGAATATACTATACGTACCGTGTATCCATGTAAGTAGAATTAATTATGAATTATTATTTATTAGTCTTAAGTATTTAATTTAGTTCAACAACTTTACTGCAACGAGTGAGTAGAGATACCAAATAAAAATATTAAACTTCAAATATAACTAAATTTAAAAATTAATCTTTTACTTATGAATTTTCTAAATAATTGAATTTGAAACTTCATAAGTACAATAAATTATTGTAATAGCTAATAACTAGTAATATTACATTCATATACATTTAAAAAATGTATATAAAATATTTCTTTATATTATTAAAATATGGGTACCTACATAAGTTTATAAAAGAAATTAAAACTATAATGAATAAAAAGTATAAATTTTAGACTATAAAAATTAAAAATATAATTTATAGGTACCTACATTTACTTATACCTTTTCATTTATTTGTTATTATCATTACACATACCTACCCTGTATAAGTTAACAAGATAAAAAAAAACTAATGCTTAGAATAATAATTAATTAATTTTTTAATTTTTATAACAGTTTTACTCTATATATGCAATGGCTAAGAAAATTAATGCGTTTGAGCGGATAATGAGATCTACTCAATTAGATAACATTCAACAAAGTTATAATAATAATGTTGATATTGATGATCCAGACTAAGAGATAACTGAAATTATAAATGAAGAAGATAAACAAATTTTAATGCCAACAGAAGAAGCAAAAGTAGACCAAACAATAAATCAAAGGTTGATTTATAACTTTTTTACCAAAATAAACATTGACCAGTCAATTTGTAATACTTGTAAAAAAGGTACTAAAAAGTCCTTCATCAACAACAACCACTCTAGTAAGGCATCTTAAAATTCACACCAAGAAATATTCTGAATATCAAGCATACTATGATAAAAAAAAAAAAAAAATGAAAAATGAACTATTATTGAAAAGAAAAAACGAAGTCATTACACAAAAACAGAACACAATTCAGACTTCATTCAACTCTAATTCATACTTATCAGAAAACAGTCCAAGGGCTAAATTAATAAACAAAAATATAAGTGAAATGATTGCATTAGATTATCAACCATACTCGATCGTTGAAGACCGTGGATTTAGGAACATAATGAAAACATTAGAGAGCAAGTATAAATTACCGACTAGACAATATTTATCTAGTACTGCAATTCCTAAGCTGTATTTAAAAAGATTATCTCAACTCAAAGAAGAAATGAACACTGATTTGGATAGTATGCGATCCATATCGTTTACTTTTGATATCTGGACGAGTGGAGCTCAACAACCATATATATCACTTACAACACATTATTTGACAAAGCAATTTGAGCTTCGTTACAAAACATTAGGATGTTCATACTTTCCAGGAGAACATACTGGGGAAAATATTTTTCTTAAAATCAAAGCTATGGTAAATGAATGGAACATTGATATTTCAAACTTAAGCATTCCTATTTATATAGTCACAGACAATGCAAGAAATATAAGTTGTGGATTAAATACTTATAATGATAATGACACCCTACATCACTACTTTTGTGCAGCCCACACGTTACAATTGGCCATTGAAGATTCTTTAAAAGAAAACAATATGGGAAGTTTATTAAAAAAGTGTCGCTCAATTGTAATGCATTATAACCACAGCACCAAATCTTGGGAACGTTTGCAACAAATTCAATTACGATTAAATCTGCCAAATCATAAACTCATACAAATGGTCGAAACTCGTTGGAATAGTGTATATTTAATGTTGGAGCGCATT